ATCTATAATCTATAATCTATATCTATAATCTATAACTACCTTTAAAGGACATAAATGTAATTTGTGATTTTAAATTAGAATTGATAAGGGTGATTTGTAACTCTCCAACCCCAACCACATTTAAATAGAAACTTGAATGGCCAATACTATCTTTGAGAAAAATGAAATGTAATTTTTGTTTGAAAGATGTAAACATAATATTATAATTTTAAATTAAAATCACATTACAACTACACACATATTTTCTTTTTTTATAAATATATGTAACTCTTCCATTTCTCTTCATTATATACAATTATTTTTCATGCATATAAAATTATTTTAATCTCATCCTAGCTAATATTCTTCATCATCTACAAATGTTAATTTATTTATTACGAGAGTATACATTTATTCATTTAACTTGAAATCCAATTATCCTCAAGAAAAAGAAACGTAACTTTTAGATATTTTTCATTTTCATTATTTCTTTTGATTATTTTAATATTGTGACATTATAATTATTTATTATTTTATCATGGATGTATTTTTATTATTTATTGTGGATACTTGTCTTGTGAAATAGAGAAAAAAATAGAAAAGTTAGTATGATATGATGCTTCCACAATTTAGAAAACTTAGTATTATGTATATATGTAATAATAAGTATCAAGCCAAATAATAAATATTATTTTTAATTTGGAATACATGTTATTTAAAATTATCTTCATCGTTTTATTTTCATCATTGTGCCTTAAAATGTTTTCTCCTATCTATCTTTATAGTTATAGAATAAATTACCTGTAATGATGAGTTTATAATTTTGAAATTCTAAAAAATGGAACTATAATTTAGACCTTCTATCATTCAAGTACAAATTAGTAATTTCAACTTAATGTCATACACATAATTATTTGATATGTGATAAATAATTGTAGTTGTAGTCTTTAAAAAATGTATTAATCTTTTAATTAAATGAAGGCAGATGAGTTACAAATCATCATTAATTATCAACTCCAATATAATATATATTTTTAAAATTAAATACAACTGAATGGTCATGAAAGTTCACTATCATCATCAAAATTTAGTAAAAATCTACTAAAGTGTATATCATATGTAACAAGTTAATACATTCATAATCAATTTTTTATAAGTAAAATTACAACTTTTATGTAATAAACAATCTACCTATTTTTTAGTTTAATCGAAATTAAGCCAAATAAATTTAACACATTATTTCAGTATGGGGTTTTAAATCCCTTTGATAATTGAAATGGATTAAAATTTAATTTTCAATCAAATTTAATTTCAGTCATCAATCCCATCCATCCTCTAACCAAGTCTTTATTGATCAGTCTCAACACATTTCTAGAACATCTCCATTATATCCCATTGAATCTTTTGTTTCCATGGACAATCTTTCTGATAATCATGCCTGCTTCACATCTGCCATTTCTCATGATATTGAACCAAAATAATATAAGCAAGCATCTACTAACCCCTTATGGCAAGAAGCCATGAATAAGGAAATCTCAGCCTTAGAGAAGACCAACACTTGGCATCTCACTGAATTGCCTGCAGGTAAGAATCCTATAGGCTGTAAGTGGGTCTTCAAGATTAAATATAAGGCTAATGGTTCAATAGAAAGATATAAAGCTAGGCTAGTAGCAAAAGGATATACACAGGAAGAAGGGGTAGATTATTTTGATACCTTTAGTCCTGTTGCAAAAATTACAACTGTCAGAGTCCTTATTGCTTTAGCTTCAATAAATCATTGGCATTTAGAACAACTGGATGTCAATAATGCTTTTTTACATGGGGATCTTGATGAAGAGGTTTATATGACACCACCTCCTGGATATTGTTCTAAATCTGATACTAGAGTTTGCAAGTTAAATAAGAGTCTTTATGGATTAAAACAGGCATCCAGGCAATGGTTTCATAAATTAACTCAATGTTTACTTGACTATGGTTTTTCTCAGTCCATTTATGATTGTTCTCTGTTCATTAAAAAATCTTCTAAGTCATTCCTTGCATTATTGGTATATGTTGATGATGTCATTTTAGCTGGCAATGATCTGTCTGAAATTCAAAATATCAAATCCCATCTTGACAACTGTTTTACAATAAAGGACTTAGGCCAGCTGAAATACATCTAAGGCTTGGAAATTGCTCATTCATCTACAGGTATAAACATTTGCCAAAGAAAGTATGCTTTGGACATTCTCAATGATACTGGCTATTTAGCAAGTAAACCAGCATCCACTCCTATGGATGCTAACATTAAACTTACTTGTTTAGATAAGACTGATACGCCTGTAGATGCCACTGCTTATAGGAGATTAATAGGCAGATTATTATATTTAACCATCACAAGGCCTGACATCTCTTATAGTGTTCAAAGTTTGAGTCAGTTTCTGGTAAGG